TTGCCACCTCACCTCAGGAGCTATCCTTGGATAACTGAACTTGTTGGAGAGCATCCCTGATCATCACCATGGGCCTCCTTTTTAAGTCTGTCACTAAAGCCTCGTGGTGAGAGGACCTGGTGCTTGCTAGTCTGGATAGGACCTCTTCCTAGTGGCCAGCATTCACGATGTGCTTCAGAAGGAGATCACACATGGAGGACAAACATAGAACTAATGCTCAACTCTTAATACAACATCAATTGAAGAGTTTCCTTCCTTTTGGTTGTTTAATTTTTTTTAAAGATATACTCACTTCATGATCCAGGTTTTTTTTTTTTCAGGAAAACATAAATCAAGCAGGACATTAATATCCATTGAGTGTAATTCAGTATAAGGAGGGGTGGTCTAGCTGTATCACTGTGGAGACTTAAGAGTATTACTTACAGAATATGCATAAATAAGGATCTTTCAAAAAGCTGATAGCCCACAATCCTCCCTTCAGGGTGTAAAACATTATTATTTGTGCCTTAAGAACACCTACAGAAAGAGTCAACAAAGAAACAGTCAACAAATGAATGCCATCTGGCACTTAGAGACAAACATCTCTTAAGAAAAACCCATTCTTGCCAAATTAAACAATAACCCAAACCCTTGGCTTTTAAACATGGACGGAAAGAATGACGACTCATACCCATTTTTCTTTCTTTTATGACATCACTCTGGCACCTGCTTTCGTAAGGAAGCTAAGAACATAATGTATTGTTTTTTTTTCCTTTTAAGATTTTATTTATTCATTTGAGAGAGAAAGAGAGAGAGAGAGAGAGGGAGAGAGACCGTGAGCGGGGGGAGGGGCACATGGAGAGGGAGACACAGATTCCCCGCTAAGCAGGGAGCCTGAGTCTGAGACCAACATGGGCCTCCATTCCTGAGATCATGACTTGAGCTGAAGGCAGACGCTTAATGACTGAGCCACCCAGGCGCCCCAAGAACATAATGTATTGCACTAATTGTTACAAAGGTCTTAGAAAGAAGATTATCATGAAAAAATATTGAATTCGATATAAATACTGCTTGTTATAAAAAATTCCTTGAAAGGTGAAAATGTTTTCTGTTTTAACAGTGCTAAACATTAGAATGGATGCCTGGTCAACTATATATAAAAATTATCATTTTTTTAAAATTCAGTATATGCCTGATGGTACCTGACATTTTAGTTATACTTTTCATACGGCAGAGCAGTTTAATAATATTGGTCAGTATTATTGTTCTCTGCGTAAGATTTTCACTAGCTCCTCCAAAGCTTGCTCAGCTGTTGGATAACAAATGGGAAAATATCACACCACAGGCAATATTTATCCATCCAACAGGAAAAACAAGAAAATGGAACCCAGGCCTAGAATCCTCCAGTGTTACTCAATCAAGGCGAATTATTTATTGTCTTCTGTCCAGAAGTCCCATGGGGCATGAAATATTGATTTAGGAATTTGCTGGGCATGAATGTCTGTGTGTTGTAACTCTGTTCTTTTATAGTGCTTAATATATGATAAATTGTTTCTGTGTATGCTGTGATAAGACTGAAGAACAAATTAAATCTGGCTATTTAATAAACATGAATTAATAACACTAAACTCTTTTTGTAATTACTAGCTTGGGGTCACTGAAGTTCACTCCAGGATGTGCAGGATTGCACAATGCATCATTCAGATGTGTGCCTAGCTCCGTCTCTTCCTTCATCTTATGACAACACAGTCTCTGCATGCCACACAAGCTGATTCCAATATTTCTGTAAGTGGGTTGTGGAGAGCCTGGGTGTTCTTCCTGCTTAACCTGGGGCTTTTCAAAGCCAGGACACTGGGGGCTCTAGGTATTGGGGAGGAGCTAAAGCTGGGCCCAGAGGAAGTTTGGGGTGTGAAGAAGAGCAGGCGTTCTTCATTATCTGAGCAGAAGAGTAAGAGTCTGGAGCAAGTGCAAAAAAAAAAAAAGAAACAAACCATGAACATAAAGAATGAAGTCATTTCATTAGCTAAAAATCCTTTGTTCTATACCATTCTACATGTCTATAAAATACACAATGTTAAAACTAGGGGTCACATAATAATGCACAGCATTAGTATCTGTTTGTTTCTTTGCTCTACTCATTTGGTACTCACCAAGTCAGATCAGCATAGCAGTTACTAGCAAGTCTGAATGGAGTCATACTGCCTGGGTTCTAATTCAGCCTCTGCTACTTGCTAAGAATGTGATTTTACCTCCCTTAGCCTCAACTTCATCTTTAAAAGGAGGGTAACAAAGAACTTCTCCTATAAGATTATTGCAAAGCAAAATAAGATACAGATACATAATAGATGATGAATATGTATATATGCATATATATGTTCATATGTAATATATAAGCTATTTTTATTTATACTTTATATTCACTTTAAACAGCGCCTGGCATACATCTAAATCAATAACATTCAGTAGGATTATCAAATTTGCTGTTGTTTTGTAGTTTCTACTTAACTTTTCACATCTGTAGGCCTTGTCTTCCCTGCTGTCTACCTTTAAGCCCCCCGAGGGCTGGAAAGCAGTCTTATATTTTGTGGATGTGAAATGTGCTTTGTTGTCCCATCTTTTGGGTGTTCACCCCTCCTGTTTTCAGTCCTAGTTTAGTGGCAGGTGAACCAGGTCTGGCCAATCATAGCACCAGAGGGAAGGTATGTGACTCAAGCTTGGATATGCAAGTCCTTACCAGAAAAAAGCTTACTGGTATCTGAGATGACTGTCTTTAAGGCTGTGTAAACCTGGAACACTGGGAGTGGCCATCTTTGCCTCCTCTGGAGAGATCCTGACTGAGAATTGGAACAACATCGAGGAACACAGAGCCAATACATACAGAAATATGGCCTCTGAGGACATTCTTTGAGTTTCTAGATTCAATCTTGCCTCAGAGGAGTACTCTTTGGATCTTCTGATTTTATGAGGAAAAGATTGAGGAAATAGATTTTGTCTTTATTTAAATTGGTCTGTATTGTATTTGCTCCCAAATTATACTGTCTAATGTATATTTTTCAAATCAACTTGGTATACGTTATCCTCTTTGATGCCACTGGCCTTATATAAGCCCCTGTGCATAGAAGACAACCATATATATATTTATTGCATGTATGAATGAGTAAAAAAGTTTTAAAACTCTCAAAATTCATGAGCCCATTAATTAAATCTCCTGCACATTATCATACCATCCTAGGCAATTCAAGTTCAATTTAAAAATGTCTTGATAAAGGAAATTATTTTTTTAAAGATTTATTTATTTGAGAGAGAGACAGAAAGAGAGAGAGGAAGGGGCAGGGGGAGAGGGAGAGAGAATCTTAAGCAGACCCCTCGCTGAGTGGGGAGCTTTACAGGGGGCTGGATCCCAGGACCCTGAGATCATGACCTGAGCAGAAAACAAGAGTCAGATCCTTAATGGATTGCACCACCCAGGCGCCCCAGGAACAAATTCTTTTGTAGAGAAACACATGATGTAGCCCTGAGGATCTTGTTGGGTGAACTAGTTTACCAGAAAAACGACTTGGGGAGACCAGAGATTTAGCATGGGAAGAACTGAGTTTCTCTTAGCATAACTACCTTCATGGTCCACTCAGTTCCCTAACCTCCTTTGGCACCATTTTTCATGCACAAAATGGGAAAAATAGTTATTTACCTTACAGGGGTGTTGTTAGGCTCAAAGGAGCTCATTGATATGTGAGCTAAGAATGACACAAATACTTTTTGTTAATATTTTTTTCTCAGATACACCTATTTCAATAGGTGGTGAACACTCACCTGACAAATCATGAACCTAAACGTGTTTAAAATGGTTTTTCTAGTCAAATGCACAACAGAAGGCACATTTTCAGAAGTATATATGTAAACATATGCTATTATTTCTGGGTCTGGGATGTGACCTTTGGGGAAATACTCAGTTTCGTCTTCTGTAAAAGGAAGGATTCCACCACCACGTTATCCCCAAGAACCCTTTAGTTTTGCCATCTCAGGACTCCAGAGGACGGAATCGGTGCTCTGCTTAAGACAAGGGTCCTGGCAGGCCCTTCGGCCATCCCTGCAGCTTAGTACCTGTGAGCCACCACTCCCTGGGGTGTTTTTGGTGGGCGTGGCGACAAGCACCTGCTCCCTGGCTGTCCTTGAATCTTCCTCCAGTCGCCACATTTTAACCGTGTGGCTCAGCAGTCTCCCAGCTATTCCCTCAAGGGTGCTTTATGAGATCCGGTTTCAATTCCCTGGTGGGTAGCTCTCAGGTCCCGTTACAATTCCCTCGAGCTCAGCGTGTGTGCGGGAGGGACAGAACCAGGGAGAGATCGAGTGAGGGGACTAGGCTCCCGGGCTCCAGTTACCCGCTGAAGGGCCCCCGCCCCGTGCCGCCGAGTAAGCGGCGGGGCCGGGGAGCGTCGCGGCCCCTTTAAGAGCCGGGCCCAGGCCGGCCCGGGGGCCGCGGGAGCCCAGAGCGCTGCGCGCCGCCGAAGAGTTGGGATCTGGCGCAAAAGTTTCCTCCCAACTCCGGCCCCGCGCGCTGCCGCCGCCGCCGCCGCCCACTCCAGCCCGGGGCCTGGGGCCGGCCCGGCCGCCGCCGCCGCCAGGGCAGGGCCAGGGCCGGGCCAGGGCCAGGGGGCAGGGCCAGGGCCGGAGCCGGGTCGGCAGTTTCGCTTTGGCGGGCTCGGAGCAGCCGCCTCGTCCGGGCCCGAGCCGGAGCAGGAGTAGGAGGAGCCCGGCCGCGGTGCCGCCGCGTTCCCGGTCACCAGCTACCTGGGAGGTAGCCCTTCGCGTTGCCGCCCCCTCCCCCAATTGCCGCCCGCCGCGAGGCCGCCGACGCCGGGCGGAGGGGCGCCGCCGCGAGCCCCGGGCCCTCAGGGGACGCCGGGGAGAAGCGCCCGGGGGCTCCGGACCCGCCCGCACCGGGCGTACCCAGGCATTAGGGGCTGTGCCCGTGGGGCCGGACACCTGTTCGGCCGGGCCCGGCGTGGTCACCGGGGGCCAGGATGAAAGTGACCGTGTGCTTCGGCAGGACAGGCATCGTGGTGCCCTGCAAGGAGGGCCAGCTGCGCGTCCGGGAACTCACGCAGCAGGCGCTGCAGCGGTACCTGAAGACCCGAGAGAAGGTGAGCGCGCTGGCGGGGGGTGGGGGGGTGGGGCGCGCGCCTGCGGGGCGGGCTACCCGCGAGCGCACCGAGGCCGAGGCACCTGCCAGAGGCCCCAGGACCGGGTGGCGACGCCCAAGGGACGCAGAGCGCCCAGGAGACTTTATTCGGCGCTACCTGTGCTCGCAACTTTTGTTTATTTGCTAATGTAAGTGACCTGGATGTCTGGGCGTTTGTGGGCCTTGCTTCTCAGAGGGTGATAGGAGGAAACGCTGCATGGGAGTCAGTTGAGGGCTGGCTACAAATGCACAATCTGGTGCCCTAATCCAAGACCCCTGCCTCTGAACCTGGTTTTCAACAAGTTCCCAGATGATTGGAATGACCACTGAGATTTGAGAAGCACTGCTTTAGAAGGTGTTTGAGGGAACGCTTCTTAAGGGAGTAGTTGGAGGTGCTGCTTACTTCAGGTGTGAGTTTTGACCAGGGCTATGGCCCGCCCCACTTCTGTTCCTTGGAGTTAGAAAGTTGATTGGTGCTAGTAACAGACACTCGGAAGTTAGAACTGATGGGGCCCTTGGGGTTGAAATCTTGTGAGGAATTCTCCATCAGTGACTGGGGCGGGAACTTAGGTGGAAGGATGCTGTTTGCTTACACTAACCAGTCTACATTTTGAGTGTCTTTAGTTTAACGTCGCATATTCTATGAGTATTTACTAGTGTGTGCGTTGTGTCAGGCCCTGCGTGACTGTTGACTAGATTGTTCCCAGCCCTGTCCCTGAAATTAGAAACAAGTAAAAGTTAAGTGACTATTATTTTTAAGTGTGCATGCAGTGCATCTTCAGAAGGCCTGGCTAGACACTAGAATTCATAATGGGTGTTTGGGTAACATACAGGGACTCCGTGTTTTCTTCGGTGGGATCTTTAAATGAAGGCATTGAAGAGCACCTTTTTCTTTTTTGAATCTTCAGATGGAACATCATACCCCACATCCTCCTCAAAAAGGACAGGCCATAAACTCTTTTGTTAGAGATCAGTGGCTCTCTTAATATTTGTTCTCATGCTGTGAGAACTGTAGACATGGCCTATAAAACTATGAGTATCTACTCCATTTTTCCCCATTGTTACAGTAGTGTATGCTGTTTTGAATTGTGTAATTCAGTTAAAAACTGAGATTTGCACAAGTAACCAATTCTCCTTGGAACTGTATTTCCCTCACTTTTGAAAGTAAGCTAAGGTTAATAGCAACAACATTATTCAGACAAATTATTAAAGTAAATGTCATTGAAGGACTATCTTAATGAGGTGATACTTATTTTTTACTAACTCAATATTAAAAATAATTTGTGCTCTAGCATCTTGTATATTTAGACGTTTAAATTACGTGGAGCTGTCCAAGTAATAGAAGTAAGCTACATACTTATAAATAACATGCAGGGGACTAGATGAAATTTAGTGCATTGTAATTTGATCTTAAAAGGTGTTAAAAAGCTATTGATATTCTGTACTGAAAGCATAATTTATAATATCACAGAACCTATAATGTAATTGTATTGATCAGTTTACTGTTATTACCAGATATTACATTTTCCTGTGTTTACATTTATATATTAGCGAATGTGACATTTAAAGGTCACCTGGCGTTTATAAATTCTCCCTCCCTTCTTTGGCTTTTAAAATCTCAATTTAATAAGTGGCAAGTGATATTTTCTCTTTCCCAAATCTCTTTCTCCCATAGTTTCATTTTAAATAGTATTGTAATCATAACAAGGCTTAACTAATATTAAATGGTATTCCTAATGGAACTAAAATGTCAAGAAATAATCTGTCAAATTCCATGCTTTCATCCATTGAATTTAGAAAATAATGGGAAAAAAACAGAAATGTCAAAATTCAATTTGAAAGGCAACTTGTCATAAATTCACTTTCTTTAAATCAGTGAGAGATTTAAAAGGCTTGCTTCCCTGGACAGCAAGGTTTTTAGCCCTGAACTCAGAAATCAAAACATAACAGTAACATGAATTGTGCTTACTCCATGCAGGCGCCGTTGTAGGAACTTTACTGCGTAAGTTAAATGACCTCATAAGGCAGGTACTAATATTTTCTTTTTACAGATGGGGAAAAAAAAGAGACACAGAGGTATGAGTGATATGTGGTGGAATTGAACCCAGGAACTGAGTCCTTACTCATAGGGTCCTTACTCATAGTCCCCGCACAGCCCAGTAGGTTATTATGCAGTGGAATTTATCCATCTTATTTATTTTTTACAGTTTGTTTTAAAAAGACCATTCCATCTACAAACTGCTGTAATAACGTATCAACCTGAAGATGGCAATTTTGTTTCTTGCAGAGAGTTGTGACATGCACAGGTTTCTCTTGATTGTATCTTATACAGTATAGGTCTACATGTAATGGGGAGAAGTCTAAATTCTGAGCCTAATATTGCAGGATTTGCAAACCAAGTATGAAAAACATTTCTTAGTTTGATTACAAATGGAAAAATGGGCCAAATCTCTTAGATATTCAGGTCGAGAGTGCTATAAAGAAACAAATTTGGCGGGAACATGAATGTAAATTAAGCCCATTTCTTTTTGGGCCTTGAATCATTTAGATGGGAGAAGGGCAGATTTCAAAATTGAGGATAGAGTTGAGGGGTCTCTAGTTTGGAGGGTAAGTGAAGCCCAAGGAGGCCATTCTGGATTTTGTGGACAGCATCAGAGAAGTATCCACCCTCTGCTGAGAAGAAACAAAGACAACTGGTATTTGGGGAATGTGAGGAACCAGCTGAATCAGCATCAGATAAGGCCAGAAGTAGGTAAGATGCTGAAGACACTGAAGGAACTTTTGGGAAGGCTTTAATTATGTTCTGAAATCTGGGACTTTGAGTTTCCTGGTGCCTCCCCCCTCCCTGCCATTCAGTGAATTTTACCGGGAAGGCGGAATTGACCAAGGGGCAAGAATTACGGGGTTGCTTGCCTTTGGATCCTGGTAGTTTATCAGTGTCCCAAACTCTAAATCTAATTTGCTTAAGTAGTTAGTGGAGAGGAGATTGTCTTCTTAAGTAGTCAAGGTGGGGATCTTTGGGTAACTAGTTAAATTTATCATCAAAATTACGTGTCACAGGTGAACGGTAATTGAACCGTATCTTGCAGGGGCTCTCAACCCTGGCTGATCATTAGTTATCTCTAATTTATCATTTAATATTTTAAATAATACAAATGCCTACATCTCCGGGATTCTAATTCAGCGGGTTTGGAGTGGAGCCTGGGCATCGGTGTTTTAAAAAGGTGATTTTAATGCCCAGCCAGGGCTGAGAACTACTGATCAATTACCTAAATCATTTGGTATCACTGAACTCATTTGATTTTAAACTCTTTTGATGGCAGATACTGTATTTTAGACCTCTCCAGACCAACCTGTCATTAGCAATCGTCCCTCTTACCATGAATGAATTCTCACAACTGGTGTTCAAATAATTTATTAAATTGAACATTCATTTATCTATATATATATTTCATACACACATACACAAACACACACACACTAGATGAGGTCAAAGTGAATAAGGGAAAGTCTTGTTTAGTAATGAGAATATATAGTGTGTGGAGTCAAAATGAGATAATACGAATATTGAGTTCATGGGATAGTGGGTATGCTGGAATTTTAAGCAGATTTGTGGATTTGACTGTGAGAATACTTTTTTTTTTTGAAGACATTTGATAGACTTGCCTAAATGAATCTCTTCTGTGTTCAGAGATTTTGAATAATTTGTTTTACCATTGAGACCGGCTTCTCAAATCTGAGCAAGATAAGAGTAATAATTCCATTTTCTGATAAATTGTGGGGTCCGCATCTAAAAATTTGTATGACAACAAGAATCTGGCATGCTACTGTATGGGCCTAACCTGGAGGAATAGGCTAGAAATCCTAAATTCTTGAAGTCTTCAGTTTTTGATGTCTTGTTTCCAGATTTTAAGGTTCCTGTATACATAAGCTAGGACCAGACTGGATTCCCGAAATGCTTTTCAATTTATTGGACACAGACTTACTTGAGTGCTTCATTTTCTATTCAGTCCTCTCCTAGTGTGTGGACTACATGCTCTTCCCAGTGTGTGGATAAGACTGACTCACCACCAGCAGGGCACATGCTGCTAGCTTGGTTTTGGTTCTGCTACTTGACTTGCATAGAAGAGTCTCTGAGTTTGCAGATGCAGGGCTAGTGGGGCCTGCTGTGACCCACAGACATATTTTTTCAATTCTGCTCAGTATCACATTTTTTTTTAATTTTAAAAGATTTTATTTATTTATTTGTCAGAGAGAGAGAGAGAGCAAAGCAGGGGGAGTGGCAGGCAGAGGGAGAAGCATGTTCCCTGCTGAGCTAGGAGCCTGACGTGGGACTCGATCTCAGAACCCTGGGATCATAACCTGAGCTGAAGGCAGTCGCTTAACGCACTGAGCCACCCAGGTGTCCCAAAGTATCACGTTTTTAAAAAAGATTTTTACTTAATTTATTTGAGAGACAGAGATAGAGCACGAGTGAGGAGGAGAGGGAGAAGCAGTCTCCCCAGTGAACAGGGAGCCCGATGTGGGACTTGATCCCAGGACTCTGGGATCATGACCTGAGCTGAAGGCAGATGCTTGACTGACTGAGCCACCCAGGTGCCCCTCAGTATCACATTTTGACTTAGTTGTCATGTTTAAATATTCTGATACGAAGATCCAGAGTTCTTTGGGTCCGGGGGGCGGGTACAAATCAGAATCTCTGACAGTACTGGGCTTTACTTTCCCACCTCCCAACCATCAGTTGCAGATGAGACATCCGCTTTCCACTCCATTATTGCCTCACCAACAGTATGTTACTACCTCAGACTTAACTTTTTACTCTGTTATTTCCTTATTTGTGGCCCATTGTTGTTCTTTGGCTTGCTGTAGGCATTTGGGTTTGTGGTCCCTGGACCTTTTCTTCCCCATTACACCCCTTTCTCTTTCCTCCTATACCTCTCTCTGTTCCCCACACCTCTCTGT